GTCGTTTCCATAATCTCCTCCCAGCTGCGCTTGCGCAGTGCTTCCTGGTGGTGGTTGCGGGGGTCGTGGTGGTCGCGGGGGTCGTGGGGATGAAGGCTGATGACTCCTCTTCGTCACCGCTAGTACCCCCTTGTTCTTGTGCAGACTCAGTTGCTCCTTGGCTCTTGTCCAAATCGCAGGGTCGGTTTCAGTTGGTTCTTGAGATAAGTTTCTGTTCTTATCAGGGACTGTCCTTTGTTGTGAGATTACAAGGCTCCTCACTTTAATCATCTTGCACAATAGTTAGATAAGCGTTAAGCAATAGTCAAACTTTTATAGTTAGCTCTAAAGCCCCTTTTCAACACTTGCAGTCATCTATGTAGATCCCACAAGTTTTGTTTTTTTCTTCTGCCTAGCCTCAGGCACAAGGAGCATCCTCTGGGTACATCAATACCCACATACAGGAACAAAGCAACTGAGTTAAACACTTCAGGGAGAGGATTTTCTGAGCCATCAAGAGGAAGACAAGACAGGCTCCAGCTAAAAAGCTTTGCTCCAACACGAATTCCTGGGAGCAGAACCATGCAGGGAACTTGGCAATCCTGGTGCAGGGCTGCAAGCCCTGCAGCGAGTCTGCAGCCAACAGCATGCTCTTCTGATCCCTCTCCATTCCCAGCTGTTACAAATCCAGATTTTTCCAGAGCTGTACAACAGCTCCACTACTGCTTCCTCTTGACTTCAGCAACCGAATGGGACAGGGATTTACCCACTGACTGCACAAGGGAGCTGTGCATCCACTAGATGCTTCAGACAATTAGCTCATTGGGCATAGCCAGCTGTGTCAGAAGGCCCTTCCTGGCCCCCTCCATATACTCCTATAACCCACCCAGTATATTACAACCTCAGCAACCAGCTGTGTCTCCAGCTGCTGAGACTTTATTTAAAGTCCTTATTTAAAATCCTCACAGACTGCTGCCTTTTCTTATGTTCTCAGCCTTGCCTTCAGCTCATTGCTTCTGCTACGCCCCCCAGGGCTCTCTGCCCAGCATCCGCTTCTGATATGTGCCTCTCTCCACAACATTAAACCACTGCAGTTGACTACTGTAGGTGCAGATATGCTAATAGTACTCATCCTTTCAGCCTTAGGCCTCTGAATTGCAGCCTTTAACAAACTGTGAGCTCCCTCCAGCAGCCTTGTTATTGTACTGCAAGCACACTGTGCACCACAGGTGCTAGGAACCCAACCTTATGCTGATTGTTCCTATTTTTCCTGGTCTCTTTGCAGTCCTGGAATAGAAGCTGGCAGTTGCTCTCTGTTTTTTCCTGCTATATTTCTAGGTAGTTGTTGGCGAAGAGATGCTCCAGGTGGAGCAGGTAGGAGGGGAAGAGCCCCTTTGCTCCTCCATTTCCCAGGGAAGCTGCAATTGCTGTCTGCCCTCCTGTGTGTCATCTCCTCTTACCACGTCACTTGGGCTGTACATCCTCAATGCCGTGGGCTCGACTGCAACTCCGTACAGGAGCCATTCAAGGGAATGGAAGAGAACTGCAGTGAGAAGCAGAGAGCATTAGAGGAGCACTGACTGGGTGGCTGGCCACATCACAGCCCCTTGTGTTATGGACTTCTCTTTGGGCATCTCAGAGAGTCTCTACCAGGGTCTCTCCCAGCCTAGCACTTTCAACGAGCACAGTCTTGATCCCAAAACCACTGAATAAAACCTGTGACCCAGGAGCTAGGAAACTGAGCACTACTTGTGGAAGCCTCCTCTCTCCTGCCCCTGGGCAGGGCAGCTCCACATGTCCCACTGCAGCCATGGGTGACAGGGCTGCAGCAGAGGATATGCACTGGAAGGCTGGAGCCGCCCCAGCTCACCTGCTGAATTTCCTGCATCGCCAGGCGTGTGGAAGAGTGGAGGCAAGGGAAGGCCCGCTGGCTGTCTCCCTCCCTCCTTGCCTGGGCTTGGCTTTGTCCTGCTCTTGTCCAGGCTCTGTTGCTCTTGGTAATTCTTTGTCCTCCTGAACCACACACATCTGAGAACTGTGGCTGCTCCTGACTTCAGAGCGGGTCTACCGGCGGGAGGCCTGGAGGGGCAGGGCTGCTCCTCTGGAGGGATCTCCTCCTAAGCCACTGGTGGACCCAGCCTGAGGCACTCCGGGTCTTCGTAATCCAAACTCTCACTGCTTTTCTGAGGGAGGGAAGACCGGATTCAGCAGTGGCTTGCAGATCCTCCACACACCCCAAATAGCACAAAGAGGAATACCCAGCTGCGTCCACTGCTGACATTCAGGGGGTAGGGAAGTGTCACCCACCTGCCAGGGACTCTCCTCCACCCCAGGACTCCCCAGTGCCCAGCTAGCAGTGTTCCCCAGTGTGTGCAGAAGAAGCCAAGCTGCTTGGCCAGAATGGGACACCCCCAAGAGAGATGCTGCCACAGTGACTCTATCAGCTCAGGACACAATCCATGCCCCATCCCCTTTTCCTGCTGCAGATCCTCAACATTCACCTGCCCACAGGGAACAGTCAGTATCTCCATGAAGGGCTGACCGCCCATGGTCTGGTGATACTGAACCAGTTCAGTGAGCGAGGCATGAGCCCAGTCTTCCTCCAGGATGATGTAGTGTGCATTGGGCTGCATCTCGATCATGTGTCTGCAGTGGCCTTCACCCCTGGGGAGATGGACAGACAGAAATAGTCATGGCATGAGGCTGCAGCATCTCTCCAGGACCCAGTCATTGCTTTTTGCACTTCTTGTATCAAGAGGCCAGGTGTGATCAGGAGCTACAGTAACAAATATCACAAAGATGCAGGAGATGTTCCATCCTAGAGTGTCACGCACTGTGCTAATAGGTGCTGGAGGAGCAGCATTTTCCCCAAAGTCAGTGACAGGGGCAGGAGAACCCTGGCAGCCGGATCCAAACCCCAGCAGACTGTACTGCCTCCCATGCCTGTTGTCCACATTACAGCTCTGCCCTACCCCTTTCCTGATGCTGTACAAAGACCATGCCCTTGTAGCACTTTGATTGCCTCTCCTCAGGCCCTCCTCTAGACTCATCTCCTCTGCTCAAGTCAACGCTTCTTCCAACCCAATTTGCCCACTCAGCCATATAGCACAGCCCAAGCAGGACCTGCATCCTGCATGCCTTGGAGCCGCAGCACCCTACCCACAAACAGATCTAGTTTTTGGCAAGAGACAGACTGTGCAGTGTCCTGTCTGCTACTCCAAACTGTCTGAGGCACCCACAACAGGAGAGGCTGAGCATCATCCTCAATGGACTCCTCTGTGGAGGAGGTTAACTCCTCCAGCCATGCTGTCGCGAATGAGCGGTTAGGTCGCTTAAATAATCACTGCCAAAGATATTTGCAAATAGTGATTTCAATAGAAATTTATAAAGGGGTGATTTAACAAAGCTGATGGCAAGGTTCACTCTATTACTTATTAAATGAATGGAATATATGTATATAGAGAGAAAGAGAGAGAGAAGAGAAGATTGAGATAGAAGGAAATACAAGGAGGGGTAAAGGAGGCCCTCCTGTTGAGTCACGAGGTTCAGAATGGACCCCCT